CTTGACAGCTCCCTAGGAACCCAATACCACCCAGAAGCCCCTCCTAACAGCAAGTCCTGAGATACTCTGTGTCCATACAAAGACCATTCATCCAGCAGATACAAATGTGCAATCGACTCAAAGGGGAGACATTTTTCAAGAAAGGCAGGTCAACCCATCAGGGATCCTTTGGAGCCTGTCCACTGAGGCAAATCTCACCTCCCCATCCGGGCTCCTATACAATGAGCACCTACCTGCCTAATTCTGCTATCTTGTCTCTCCTGATATGAATGTTGCCCCCACCAAACACATTGCATCTTATTACATACATTATCTTATTTGTAATAAATATGCATTTATTAAGCACCCACTGTATTGAGTCACTCCATGTGATGAGTATCACAAAAACATAGATTGCTCCTTACGCAGGAAAGTCTAACATCTAGTTGGAGGTTCAGAGCACAAGCATGAGAAAAGCTAAGTGATGATGCAAGAGTTAAATAAGATGAGGGTGCAAGAGTACATTCAATGGATTTCTGACCACATATCTGGCACCTCTGGGAGAACACACAGGACCACAGAGCGGTGCCACAAGGTAGCACCACGTGAAGACAAGAAACAAGCACTAGCAACTCATGCTCGCTGAAGCTCTACATGCCCAAGACACTCCTCAAGGCGCCAGATGAAGTCATTTATTCCTCGTCACCACCCTGAGTCAGACACAGTGATCGTCCCCATCTTACAGACTAAGCAACTGGGCACAGAGAGGTTAAGTGAGCGTAATCTCATCCTAGCCTGACGGTGATGTACCTGCCCTGAGTCCTGGGCAGTGCACACCTGCCTGGTTTCCTGGAATGACTTTTTCTCTCTTCTCTACTTTGCAGGTCCAATTGTGGCCTCCCCTGGCCATCCTCCATTCCCATCCTCAGGACCTCTACACACATATGTATTTACACTCTCATCTTCATGGTCTAAGAACACTTTGCGCATCTACTTTGGTCTATGTCACTGAATTTATAACTATCAGCTTATATCTGTCTCCCTCACTACACTGTGTCCCTAGAGGCAATATTCCTTACTTTGGTCTATGTCACTGAATTTATAACTATCAGCTTATATCTGTCTCCCTCACTACACTGTGTCCCTAGAGGAACAATATTCCTTTTTTTTTTTCTTAATCCCCAGTACATAGCATAGTACCTAGCCATGTACAGTACAGTAGGTACTTAACTGTTTGTCAGATTGAATTAAAATGAATTGAACTGAACTAACATGGGATTTTGGTTTTGGGGCATAGAAGTCAGGGCTGATTGCTGATTCTCTCTAAGAACTGAGAAATGACCACGCTGCCCTTAGCTAATCCACCTTCCCAGAGCTGGACTCCAGGGGTGAGTATTTACTGCAGAAATCAGAAGTGGCAGCAGGACTGATGGATGGCCACCATCCTCATAAAGAGCTGTGGGACGCAGTCTCCAGCCACAGCCTCAGGGCTGCTAAATCCCTTGAAACTTTATGGCATTGTTGCCATGGCGGTCACGGACATAACGTGCCATGGAGGCAAAAAACTGAAATTCCCCTAGAGGTGAAACACTGGTGGGAACCCATTCACAGGCAAGAGTGCGTTACTTAACCTCTCTGAGCCTCAGTTTCCCTATCTGTAACATGGAGATGATAACCTGCCTCATAAGGTTGTTGGCAGGATTTAATACAACAATAGAGAGAGAGCACACTGGCTGAAGCATAGTAGGCCTTCAATAATTGATAGCAATTCCCATTTCCTTACCTGTTGTTAGAAGTTCTAGTATCTTTTCACCTTGCCAGAGTGAAGCGTTTTGGGTCTTAGTTCAGTTTTTAATTTAAACACACTAGACCAGGGTTTGTAGGAACTCTGGGGTTAATGGTGGAAGGAACCCTATGGTTTCCAATCAGTGAGCCTCCACATTGATCAAACACAGCCAGACTGACATCTGAAACTGCCACTGAAGAGCTACAGGACTCAAGTCCTCCCAATCTCAGTCCCAGGCTGGGCCTCTACCAGGCAAGTAATTTGCTTCTAGGTGCCCACAGTCACCTGTTTGACTTGGTTGGTTAATACACTAAGGGAAGTTATTCATTAGCAAGTGTGAATAACAGTCCCACCCCCGCAACAAGCAGCAGTCTGGGCTCTGCTAGAGAGAGCCCAATGCAACTGCCCATTAGCATTTGTGAGTAATACCCCAGGAAAAAATGCCAAAGGATGTCACACTGAACCTGACAGGGGTGACAGCGGTCTCCTCACTTACAGGTGACTTCTAACCACATCGAAATACCTTCCTTCACATATACCCCTGCTAGGGCCCCTCCTCTGCACTCAGTATCACGCCCTGAGAATGCGTTTTCTGATCCTCCTCGCCAAACTTCAACTCTCCGGTCACAGTCTATCTTGCAAAACCCTCTCTGCCTTTTCCTGCCCTTCAAGAGATCTTTAATGCTAAGACAAGTCCCTCTTTTTCTGATAACAAGAGCCTGCCGGCATTTTAAAATCAGACCCTTGCTGATGAAGAGCTCCTGAAACATAAAAAGATTCCAGCCAGACTGTGCTGCCCAAGAGGCAGCCGCCCTCCGCCCTCCCCCATGCAGTCTTTGGCAAAGCCCGGCCCCAGCATGCAGCCGTGGGTCCCAGGAAGAATCAGCACATGTAACTTGATGGGTAACTTAAAGACGATGAAAGGCCAGTGGCCCCACAACCATATGCTCGAACCCAGGGTGAACACAGGACTCAAAACTGGAGGTTATAACCACTCTCTCCTGACTTCGGCTGCTAAAATCACCTCGGACAATGTTACTCTACATTTGTCATGAAAAGCAAACAGATTTTTAAAGTGTGACTGATGACAGGCTTCCTTGGTTGAAATAAATTCCTCAGCTCTTAAAAGCATTTAAAAAAAAAAAAGCATTTACTCATGACTGAAGACGGAGGATATTAGTAAGATATCGCATGTGAGCACACTTTACAAAGGACGTGGGAACTCCATACACATCATTTGGTGTTGTGAGCGTTGTTGTTGGTAACTCCAACTGACAGCAGGAGAAACAGGGCACTGAGCAGTAGAGAGATATAGAAAGGTAGAGGTAAGGGCCTCCACTGAGCCCAAGATTTGGGAACTAAAATCTTTAATCAGCCAAATTCAAGGCATGCCACAACTGTGTTCATGATTCCTAGCAATGTACGGTGAGGGAACGAATAAGCTGCAAGTAGGGTGCAGTCGTGCAACAGCTCTGGGACCTATATTCGACTGTTTGAGACAGGAATGGGGGGTGCCGGGGAAGGGACCTGCAGGGCTCATTGGTAAGAGCTGCAAGTCAAGTCGGGGTGGAGTGGCCAGTTTGCTGGGGCTGCTGGAATCCCGAACGCCGGGCAGGGCTGAGTGGCAAGACGCTGGCGACAGGAGGAGGTGGGGGTCAGAAAGCCTCTGTGGGTGGCACGTCCACTCGATGAAGTTGTCTTGGCATCTGCCCATCCCTCCACTCTCCGCCAGGGCTCACAACCAGGAGTGCCAGCTTCGTTTGAGAGGGCATCTCTGCCGAATCTTCCGCCCAGGAAGGGGCATTCCAGGGCCGTGGCAGCGTCTGGGAGACTGTTTCAGGGGCCGCAAACAGGGTAACCACACCTGGGATAACGTCACTCATTGGGTCTTCATCTCACATTCCCTCTCACCGCGGGCAAGTGTATGTTTGGATCAGAAACGGATCTAACATGGGTTGTCACTGTTCCACATGAATCCTTCAAAGCACCCGGCTGCCAGGAATACCCAAGTCCTCCTTTGCTCCACCAGCCGTCTTTGGGCTTCAGATTCCTGGAATCTGCCTCCCTCCGTCCACTGCGGCCACAGGCAGGTCTCATCCTTCTGCTGGGTGCACCCTACCTCCACCCTCCACGGCACCCCACAGCACCTAAAATGCTTCCTGCTGGAATGGCAGAGAAAGAATGGGATCTGTTGTTCTTCAGGGCAAGAATCCAGCTTCTTCTGATTGGTTGGGTGACATAAGTGAAGAAATAACTAGGATTCTTAGTCAGGGGTCTATGATTGGGCATCAGGAGGTCTACGAACCCCCCAGAAATTGTATGGTTTTGTGTGTAGGTGCTTAATGTGAATTTCTGGGAATAACTACCATACCTAATGTCAGTTACCACGCACGAGTTGCTGTTCTAAAGGCTTAACCCATAGCAGCTAATTTAGTTCTTACATAGGAGATACAAACTGCTTTTATCCTCCATTTAAAGATGGGGAAACAGAAGTACCAAGAGGCTAAATAACTTGCCAAGGTCACAGAACCAACCAGCGGTGGAGCCGGGATTCAAACCCGGGGCTCTAGCGGCAGAGCCCCCGCTCACGAAACCACCTTGCCTTACTGTCCCAGTCCACATCACATTCTCAGAGAGGTCCATAACCTCACCACGTTTAACTGTCTTGGAGGCATCTAGCTATCAACATCTAGCATGTGGCTGTGCCCTATTAGTTTTTGTATGCCGAGAATCTAGCACTGCGCCTGGAACCCAGGAGACACTCGGCAGCCACTCTATGAAAGAATGAAAAGTGACGATAATCCAGGCTCTCCTTCAGTAGGTTTCTCCTGCCTTGCAGAGCAACCTTTCTCACATCCCCTCACTTCTTCCCGGCACCTCCGTCACGCCAAGCCCTTCATCGAACACAGGAATTTCCCTGCCACAGGTGTTCTCTCTCTGCCCGCTTGCTGCATCCTGTCTCTTGCTGTCCTCCCACTTCACCTGCAGTCTCTCCAAACCTCACTGGTTCCATACGCCCCGGGGCTAGCACATACCACCCGATTCTGGACTACCTCCTAGTTTGACTGGCAGTTGGATGGGAGGTGGCAGGACCACATAAAATTCAGTACACAGGCTCTTTAAGGAAGATGCGGTCGCCACTGCAGCGGAGCTTCGGGACACCCGCTCCTGTCCCTGCCTCACCGCTGTTCACCCCCACTGACGAACAAGTCAGTCAGGAAGCCGCACCGCAGCCATGGCTTTTAAAGATGCCAGAAAGACTTCCGTGGAGCCAGAGGTGGCGTGGCGATTCACCTGATTAGAATCACCCTCACCAGCCGCAACGTGAAGGCTTTGGAGAAGGTATGTGTTGACCTGATCAGAGGTGCGAAGGAAAAGAATCCCAAGGTGAAAGGACCGGTTCGGATGCCTACCAAGACTCTGAGAAATAAGTACAAGGAAAACTCCTGGTGGTGAAGGTTCTAAGACTTGGGATCGTTTCCAGATGAGGATCCACAGGCGACTCACCGACCTGCACAGGCCTCCTGAGATTGTCAAGCAGATCACTTCCATCAGTCTTGAGCCAGGAGTCGAGGTTGAAGTCACCATTGCAGATGCTCAAATCAACATTTTTAATAAACTGATAATCAGTTGTTTAAAAAACAGTTCAGTACACAGGCCCTCAGTGGGGAGCACAGCATTAAAAAGCCTTCACCCAGAGAAAACTCACCTGCAGGCCAAGAGGAAGGCATCAGAGCGTTAAAGGGGACCCAGTGCCAAGGGTCCTGAAGGTGAGGCGTGAGTCTTTTTATCTGAGGCCCACAGGGAACCTCAGCCCCGAGAGCACCAGGCAGGAGACAAAGGAGGCAGCCTCCTCTCTGTTTGTGAGGGCCTCTTCTGGAATTTAGGCTTGAGGAGCTCGGAAGTTAAATGTCCACCACCAGCTGTATGTCCTGTGGGCATTCAGCACGTTTTCCTGTGTCAGTGAGCTCCAGGCCAGAACTAGTAGCCTTTCCACTGTGGGTCGCAAACTCACCAGACTTGTCCAGTCGTGGCTGAAATCGGTTCTTCCCTGACGGGAACTCCACGGTCTGTGAAAAATAAACGGGTGTGGACTTCATCCAGTGGGCAGAGGTCTTGTCACTGAAAAGTAGCACTGCAGTCAGCGAGCACGGGCCCGAGTCTGCTTCCTGTTCCAGCGGAGACTTGGAAGAAGAGACAGAGGGCCTATCTCACCGCCCTCTTCTTAATATCAGTCACAGAGAAGTATTTCCAGGACTGAAGGGCATCTCTCCTGCAGCCTCTTGCACCGCAGGGAGACTGGAGAGATCTCAGAGAGAAGATACATGCACTCCACCTGCAATGCTGCCCTCCCTTGAGGGGAACGGGATGCTGCTGTTTGATTCGTCTATTCCCTCAGTGCAAGAAACTCAGCTGCTTTATGCCTCGGTTTGCTCTTTAGTTAAATGGGGGTCCGTGCTGCATATCCAGAACCACATCAGTCAAATGAGTATATCTAACACCCTTCAGAAGTGGCAGAGGGCAAACTTATCCTCTGATTAGCATCTCTATAATAATAAAAATAATTTGTAGTATTAATTCTGACAAACGACCACAGTTTGGGCCTATGCAGCAGTGTCTCTCCACATCAATAAACATATCAACTGCCCCAAAGACTCTCAAGTGGAGATTTAGGGGGAGGGCTCGAGTGAGCCGTTTACATGACCCCTTTCCATCTCGCGGTCCCCCTCTCCCTGGGGCAGGCAAGTGCTCGTTTTACTGCCTGGCAACCAGACTGGGACTAAGCTTGCTAAAATATGAGTGTTTTTTTGGCTGGAGTACCAGAGAGCCTGCAGCCCTACGGAGAGAGAAAAATTGAACACACCAGGCCGTGGCTCCAGAAAGGGGAAGAATTAGACTTCACACCGAGCAGGCTGAACCATGGCATTCTTTAGATAATGCTTAACAAACCCCCAAACAAAGGCAGCCAACTTAGCTGCATGTTCGTAAAATGTATTCTCAGCAGATTCGGGCTTATTGAAGCGCTGAGTTGCTTTGCAGCCAGGGTCCCCATCCTAAGCTTCCCGTTTTTCCGTGCTGTTCCCCTTGTCTAAATTCCTACAGATTCTGCCAATCAGAATTCCTCACTTCGGGCTCAGGAGGGCTTAGCAACCAAGGTAAATGGTGGTGCTTTTAAATTTGATCCTAACCCTGAGGAACAACTGCCCCCCACCCCAAAGCCCCCTGTTCTGACGAGCCATCTTCTGAGGCCGGTCCTCAGCGGTTTGCAGGCTGACCGCTTAGAGATGAAGGGTGTGGAGTTCTGGGGTTCACCTCCACGTCTCACCATTCCACCTCAAATGACACCTCTTACATTTATTCAATGCTGTCGTAGACTTTCTATGACCAGGATCGTGAAAGTTCAACCTTGAAGTTATTTTTATTTTTGGAAATGCCACTGTCAGTGTTATTTTTAAAGCCATGGCTATCATTAGTATTACTAGCATTTGTGTACCCAAGTAGAAAGCCAGCTTGATAAACTAGTAGGCATGTTTTTGTGGTCCAGTCCGTTTTTTGCTGCAGAATGTATAAGGCTAGGTAGAAAGGGCAAAAGGTATGGAAGCAGGCTTACAGATCTCAGATCAAACGTAAACGTCATTGAACTCCACTGCTACTTAGTACAGCTTTCACTCCTTCCTCTCCCTCCCCGCTCCATGTTATCCCATTTATCCTGTACCCAAATACCCCAGGATTCGTGTATTAGTTGGACCCTTTTGTAACAGTTGGTGAAGAACAGGAATTTAAGGTCCGGAGACTAGATTGGGGTCCTTACATATGGACTCTGCAAACTTCATGAGAGCAATACTTTTCCCGTAGGAGAAAGCACCTCTTCACTCCAAGATATGGAGAACTGGCCCTGGTGGCTAGAGTGCCACCAGCATCCCCTGCTAACTCTGGGACCTCACACAGGATTCTTTGTTAGGGGCCTTCTCCATAAACTCAGAATAACAATTCCTACTCTCACTGAACTTCCAGGGCTCTCTCAGGGGTGAATGGGATAAGGAGTAGAAAATATTTTCATTGCTTCTGAGAAAGATGTGTTGACTGAAAAAAAAAAAATGCACAACCTAAAATTTAAATTATGTTTTATTCGGAAAACTTGCTGAGGACTTACGCCCGGGAGGCAGTCTCTCAGATAGCTCTGATGGACTGCTCTGAAGAGGTAAGGTAGGGGCCAGGATATATAGGAGTTTTTGCAACAAAAATCAGGTAGTCGGAAAATCAAAAGATTACTATTAATTAAAGAGAAAACAGACATCTCAAGTTAATGAATTTAGCACTTTCCTATGTATGGGAAGAAGCAAAAGTCTGGGCTTATGAAAATCACTCCTTTGATATGCACCTTAACTATCTAGGGCCAGCATCCTGCTTTTCTCTCCATCCTGAATCCCCTCACAGTGCATAGCTGGGGGCGGCTACAGTGCCTAGTGGTTTGATGGCTGCAACATCCTTTGTTTACTGATATAGCATGTGACATTTTTCATCCACAGATGCAAGATATTCAACTTCCTAAAAAATTTCCAAGACTCTAGTTCTTGAAGATTCTTGCATGTGGCTTCCCTGAACCCTCATCTCCACTGAAAAGTTGCAGCTGAGAAAGTACACCCAACCCCAAAGCACAGACCAGCACCTCCAACCAGTTTGTGAGCTGAAGTCTGCTTGGACCGGTGACCTAAATGTTCATGAATTCAGGTCTGCAGATTTAAGAGGTGACCACAGCAAACATGGAAGCCAGGAAACATGTCGAACACAGAGCTTAACAACAGAGTCCAGCTCCATCCCCAGGAGACAGAAGAGACTCTAGGATTGCTGGAGGTGAGGACAAGGGAACTTTCAGGGTGGCTCCACACAGAGCAGAAAGCAGGCTTTACGGATGATGGCTGCAACTGTGCATTTTTGCATTTATGTGTGTACGGTGATTGTCTGTTACAGAACTCCCACTCAGGCACATGGACCCACAAGTGATAATACCACACACATATGTGTGTAAGTGTGTATGTGTGTGTGTGAAGCCACAATGCACTGTCCTCTGAAAATGAAGCTATATTGCCCAGAATACCACCTAACCAATAGTGTATGTTCTACAGACTTTTAAACTATCCACATAGTTTAAGAGATCGCAATGGGTTTTCACTGATAAATCAACCTCTCACTCAGGCCATGGTGATCAATAGCCCACAGTTGTGAAACCGCTGAGTGGGGTTCCGGCAGTGGATAGAAGGAAGCTCATAGCGTGTTCTACCCCCAGCCCCCTGCCTTGACACTCCTGCTTCTTGCTGGAGACTAAACCCTGAGTCTTGGGCCTCTGCTTCCTCTCCCTCCACACACTCTACCCAATTCATCCATCCATCCCCATGGTTTTCAATACCATCTACAGGCTGATGAATCCCAAAGCCCTATCTCTGACCCTTTTCCAAGCTCCAAACTCATAACCAATTGCTATTGGACATCTCCACTTGGATGTAAAACACACATCTCAAATTTCACGTGGCCAAGCAGAACTCCTTGCCCCCGTCTACTCCCCAAATTGTCCACGCGGCAGTTAGTGGGGTCTCCACCCACCTAGGAGTCACTTTATCCTCCACACCCTACCATCTAAGTCAACCAGTCCCGTGAGGCCTCTGAATCATGTCCATAGCTCTTCCCTTTCTCACTGTCTCCACTAGCACCTCCACTTCTTGCCCTCCTAAACTCTGCCACAGGGCAGCCAGAGGATCTTTTTGGAAACGTAAATCAGAGCTCACTCCCCTGTGTAAAGCCCTCTGGGGATTTCCCATTGAATTTGGAATAAAATCCAAAATCCCTACTCTGATTTACTAAACTTCCAGTCTGATCCTTGCCACCAACTCCAACCCCATATCATGCCACTCTCCCCTCCTTCACTCAGCTCCAGCCTCACTGCCTTCTTTCTGGGCTCAAATAGGTCAAGCTTGTTCCCAACACAGGTCCTTTTCACTGGCCATATTTTCTGCCTGGAACAACCGACACCACTGCCACCTCTGC